TGTTTGTGTGTAAGTTATTGTGTGTGCATGTGTGTTTTTTTGTGTATAAGAAGAGAATGAGGATAGATTAGGAAAAGTAATGGAAAATGGAGGCAGAAAGAAAGGTAAATGTAGGATAGATGGAGCGATAAAGTATAGGTAAAGGGAAGTATGACTATTTAAGGAGGAAGAGATAGAGGAAGGGAGGGAAGGAGGGGAGGAGGGAGGAACGGAGGGAGGGTGGGAGCAAAAGAGGGAGGAGGGAGGTAGGAGAGTGGGAGGAGGATGGGAGGGAAGGAAGGAGGGTGGGTGGGGGGGTAGGTAGGTAGGTAGGTAGATAGGTAGGTAGATAGGTAGATAGGTAGATAGGTAGATAGGTAGGTAGGTAGGTAGATAGATAGATAGATAGATAGATAGATAGATAGATAGATAGATAGATAGATAGATAGATAGATAGGTAGGTAGATAAGTAGGCAGGCAGGCAGGTAGGTAGGTAGGTAGGTAGGTAGGTAGATAGGTAGATAGGTAGATAGGTAGATAGGTAGGTAGGTAGGTAGGTAGGTAGGTAGGTAGGTAGGTAGGTAGGTAAGTAGGTAGGTAGGTAGATAGGTAGGTAGGTAGGTAGGTAGATAGGTAGGTAGGTAGGTAGGTAGGTAGGTAGGTAGGTAGGTAGGTAAGTAGGTAAGTAGGTAGGTAGGTAGGTAAGTAGGTAGGTAGGTAGGTAGGTAGGTAAGTAGGTAGGTAGGTAGGTAAGTAGGTAGGTAGGTAGGTAAGTAGGTAGGTAGGTAGGTGAGAGAGAGAGAGAGAGAGAGAGAGAGAGAGAGAGAGAGAGAGAGAGAGAGAGAGATGGAAATAGAAAGAGAGAGAAAAAAAAAGCAAATTAAAGAAAGAAACCCAATGAGGCTGTGATACAAAAACAACAATTGGGAAATGAAAAAGGCTATAGCAGAAGAATTGGTAATCACAACAGCAAAATTCTTCTCTTGCAGGTGGTCGCAGAAAGCCTGTACCTTTTCAGCGTCAGCGCCTTGAAATCACATCTCATCTTCCAGAGAACAACATGTCTTCCTGTAACAAGTGTTCAAAGTAAGTCGTGTGGTTAATAAAATAAGAAAGGGAAGAACAGGAAAATGTACGGATGTGCCGAAAGCCTTTTTCTTGTATTGCTTCTTCGTACCCTGAAGAAGCAAAATACAGCGGAAGGGCCTTTGGAATATTTTTGTGTTTTCTTGTTCTTGACTTCGGTGTTTTCTTTACAATTTGTTTAGCCTGAATCCTGTAGGAAAGAAAGCCATGCACTTCTTTTTATCTTTGGAGATAAATGTATTTAATATTGTTTAAGTAATAAGATTGTTTAGTTTAGTACATTATATCACAAGGTTTGTCAGCTTTTACAGTTTTATTAATGGCTAAAAATGGTTTAAGTAGTAATTATTTGATACAGAATATATTTCAAGAAAAAATCATTGGTGTTAGGAAGGGAATAATTTCCTTATGGTGATCTATTCTATTGAACATCATAAGTCAGTAAAGTTTTCTTCCAGTAGTTAAGTATAGTTGATTTTTTATTTTCACCATCAGGTTTGAATCCATATTGCTAAACTCTCTTCTAAACATTGCTTAGCTTTTGTCCTTGTTTTAAAACCTCAACTTCCTTCCCTTCAGCTGATTTTTGTAAATTACTAAGGAGTTCAGGAAGTAGGAAGAAAATGATCTAAAGGCATGAGGCATAGATTAAAAAAGGAAGAGAATATAAGAAGAAAATCCATTACAGTCCTCCTCATTATGCTCATTAGAACTCATCAGCAGAACATGCTACATCACAGGGCATCTTAGCTGTGAATAACTAAGTGATGCTCATCAGTGCAGCAAAAACTAAGCAGATTTTCTCATAAGATATTTGTGTGGATACTATGGTTTAGCTTCACTTTTACCGGGGAAACATATTCTGTAATGATGTATGTGAACAGGTGCGGGTGTGCTGCTGGTGCAGGTCGTCAGCAGAACAACAACGATGCCTACCTTGCCGATCTTTTGCGCATGACAGACCAAAAGCTCCTTGACCTACAGCAAGAAGCAGAACGCAGTCAGCGACAGGCTAAGGAGTACGAAAACCAATGCTCCACTCTCAGGAAACAAGTGAGTGGTAATGAGAATGATTCTGAAGAATTATTTCTTCACTTGACTATGTATCCAGGAAATGAAACCTGATTTGCAAGTGCTGTAGTAGAGTCCATTAAATAAGATAACTTAGAGGAATTTGTGCTTAACATCATAGAGAAATTATAAACTGAAATTTGACTTGCAGACACTTTACCAAACTTCAGCTAACTGCAATATACTTTCTTTATCATATTCTTTTTCCTCATCTAGCAACTGCCAAGTTTCTCTAATGTCTTCTATTAATTGTTTTTATATTCATAGGTATATGAAAATCTTGAGATTTTGTTTTAGAGAATAAAACTTACTTGACGTATAAATAATACTCTTTAATAGCTTTTTTGTGAAATCTCTGCAAAGGATTTTACAGATGTGCATTACATGAAACACTAAGATTTATGTACAGTAGATATGTATTCTGTACAATTATAGTCCATATAGTCTGAATATGTTATCTGCATAGAAATGAATAATATAATTTTTAAATGATACCATTAAGAAATACCATCAGCTTGGATTTAATAAAAAGACCCTCCCCTTAGGTTGCATCCAGAGAATCAGAGATCGCAAGGCTCCAGGGCCTGTTGGAGGGAGGACGGACAGTAGCAGCTGTGCTTGAGGACAACCGCATCCATGCTGCTCATGAGCACCTCCACCAGCTGCAGCTTCACAATGATCTCCTCACCAAGACGAACATACAGCTGGAGAATAAGCTGAAAAGTAAGGCTGAAATATTTGAAATGTCAGTTATGTAACACACCTGTTATATTATTCATTATTAGGATTTTTTTTTTTTTTTTTTAATACATTTTTTATGTTTAGAGATTTTGTGCTCAGTGTAATCTTAAAGTATTTTTACGAGTTCATTTTATATCACCAGATATTCTTGGAGATACACATGAAGCCATGAACCGAGCTGTAGAATTGGCTGACGAGAACACAGACCTCACCAAGGAACTCCATGATGTTGAGAAGACCAATCGCCTCTTGGAGGAAGATGTTCTCAACACCGCAGAAACACTCACACAAAAGCTGCAACGCACAAAGGTGAATAGTACCATTTCAGTGTTGTGTTTGTTTTTATTTATTTTATTTCAGTTTTTAATATTTTTGAAACTATATGTGTGGAGTTATAGTAAATTTTTATTTGAACTTATCTTTAGGAATGTCAAAAATTGATTTTTGATTTTAGCACTTAAGAGAATGAAGTAAGTCAGTTAAAGAGCAAACTTCTATTCCCCTTGCAGTCTAAACTTATGAGCTGTGAATCAGACCTTGCCGAGCAACACCGTCTGTTCCATATCATGAGGGATGAACGTGACAGGCTCTACAAGGAGCTGATTCACGTGCGTCATGACCACTCACGGCTCACTCATGATCACACACGCTTAGTGACAGAACGGGTACCAATGTTAGATGAAAACAGGCGTATGGAGGACCTCTTGCGAAAAGGACAGGAGGAGAAAAAGACACTGGTGGATAAAATAAATCATCTAACAGTGTCATGTGAGTTACTGTGGAATCAAATGAGTCTTTAGTATTAATGTTGTAGTATTGTGCATGTGTATATTTGGTACTTATTCTGATGTTTGTTTTTCATATCTTGTAATTTTTAAAGACATTTTAAAAAGTATAGAAAAGATGCGTAGTTTCAAGTCTGCATATTTTGTCCAAAATTGATGGCACCTTTGTGTATCATTAAATTACTGACTGAATATTTTTTTATGACTAAAGTAACATTCCTCCCAAACAGTACAAGAAGCTGAAACTGAAAAGCTTCGCCTGACAGACGAAGGAGAGACCCTTCGCAAGAAGATTGCAGAGTTGACAGAGGAGAAGGACACTGCAGAACAAGGGAAGTCCTTCTACACCAGTGAGACGGTGAAACTGCAGGGCCAGAACAAGGAGATGGAGCAAGAGAGGGACTATTACAAGGAAGAAATGCAGAAACTCCAGACAAAACAGATGGAGCTGGAACAGGAGCTTGACTTCTTTAAGGACCAGTCTGGGGAGGTCTGTGGTAGCCCTTAGGGAAAATATATTTCATACTTCAGTGTTCTTTTGGTATTGATGCTTTTGTACTTGAAAGCTGCATAGAAAGAAGTGGGAAAGTACATAAAAAAAATCTTTGCTTATAAGATATGCACGTACACTAGATATTTCTGATATATGTGGCTTTCTTTACTCCTCTCATTTTTTCATTTTGCATGCTGACTTTGTGAAAACAGTATATAGATTTAAATTTTAAACATGTAGAACTATATAATTATTACAGCTATCGAGAACAAAGCAAGCTTTGGAACAATCTCGAGAGTACATGACAGATGACATGTCTAAACTACAAGCTCAGCTTAAGCAGCTGCAGCTAGAGAGGAATTACTTCAGTGAACAGCTCAATGTGGTAAGATTTGCAGGGCTGATTTACTTTTATTTTCTTTTTTCACTATAAAGAGACTACTAGTTTTGGTTTTAAATGATTTTCTGTGCATATTCTTTGTTTTATTTTAAAAAATAGTCATATTGGAAGAGGAAATATAAAATGTAGGTATTCACTGACACTTGAGAAAAATATTTTTAGACGGGCATTACTTTCATAAATTTTTTCCAGAATCAAGATGAGAAGAGACAGGCTGAGAGGGAACGAGAGTACTATAGTGAACAAGTTCTTCAGCTACTAGACATCCTTAAATCAAAGCCAACATCAACACCCTCATCACCAATGCAGATTGGAAGAAAATCAAAGCCTGTGTCTCCAGTAAGTGAATTTGTTTGTTTATGCATTCAAAAAAAAGTCCCTGAAGTGTAAGTGTATCAATTTTGTAGTAAATGAGAAAAAACATGTAAATTTAATGATAGTCTGTTGTTAAAGGGCTTCGATTTTTGCTAACTGTTTGTGTTTCTCTCTCTAAGGAAAATGAGCTTGCACGAGTATGTCATGAAAGAGATGTCTTGAAACAAGAGAGGGATTTCTACAAGATGCAGTACCAGTCAATGAGGAATCAACAGCAAGCACCATTGTCTGGCAGATCAGGCAGCTCTCCTGTATCTGGGCCTTCTGGAATTCCTGTATCAGCAGGTTCTGTTCCAACAGGGGTACCAGGGGCAATGCCATTGGGTCCTCCAGGGATTGCCCCTCCATCAGCAGGTCTCATAGGCAGTCCTGCCTCTGGATCGCCTCCACCTAGACCTCAGTCTGTACCAGGAGCAGGTAAATTGCCTCGAAGACTAAGGCTGTTTGCTCTGATTGTTGAAATTTGATTTGTGTATTAAGAAATCTTAAATGTTTGCACTTCACTTACTACTACATTACTATTGTGGTTTCAGCGGATGTGGAGGCAGTTAGACGAGAACGAGATTTTTACAAACAGCAGATGGAATACTTCCGCCAGCAGTACAATGCACAGATGCCCCGTATGCCCTCTGCAGCAGGAATTCCAACAGATGGCAGACCACCAATGGCCAGGGTGAGTGCTTTGTATCTTTGTGTAAGGCAGGTTTTCTTGTATTATGTGTATGTGTCTACATAAAGCACAGAATAGTCTGATATGCTTGTGAGGTTTCTGAGAATTATTGTATTGCTGCTGGAAGGAGATGTATATTGATGAAATATTATAAACATCCAGTTCAAAATTACAAGTCTGAAGCTTGTAATATACATGGTATGGGCTATAGTAGATGAGGGGTGTGGGATAAGATTATAGATTTAATATATACAATGTTAGGATCATGAAAACTATGTGAGTACCAATCCTTTTTCATCAGGGATCTGCGGAAACCTCCCCTCCTATGGATGTCGACTCAGCAGCTGTTAGGAATGAGATGGCAATCTACCAGCAAGAAAGAGATTTCTTCAAGCAGCAGTATGAAAATTTAAAGGCTAGTCTGGCTCAGCCAATCCCTCAGGTAATTTGAAAGATTAATTTTTATGATTGTTTCAAAGAACTGTGTTCTATTCCTTTTTGTTTTAAAGTAAAAATCTGTTTGTCTCATATCTTTAGTAGAATTGAAAATAGGTAGGTTTTGTTAGTGTCAAGTCTCATGGAAACAGCTGTTGCAATTTTTTAAGAGAACATTTAACATTTTTGATAATGACAGTATATTTTCAGTTTTTAGTCCAAGAATATGAAGAAAAGTATTATTCGTAGGAATATTGAATATATGTAAACAGTAAAAATGCAATTAGATATGCTCTGTAATAATTATTTTGTAATATTCTTCCTGAAGGTAAAGATTAACCACTTCTTGCTTTTGCAGGGAGATGGTACTAAAGAAATAGATGTCAGTAATGTTATACGAGAGCGAGACATCCTACAACAGGAACGAGATTTCTTTAAAAACCACTACAATGAAATCTCTCGTAGAATGGCTCAGGCAGCCATAACAACACCTTCTGTGCCTCAGTCCATTGTTAGTTTTTTTTTTCTACTCTTTGTAAACTCAGCTGAATATGACTGGAATGAATATAAATATAGCTATATAATATACAGTAACTCCAATGAATACAGCTTTTTAATTCATTATTAGTATCAAATTGAATGAGATTAAAGCAATGATAGTGTTATGGTTGGAAGAATTGCTTCTAGTTTTTAATTATTTTCTTCTTTCCAGAAACAAGAAATAGAATCATTAATGGCAGAGAAACGAGGGGTTGTGATAGCCAAGGCGGACTTGGAGGCAAAGGTAAATTTATCCTTTGTTCTTGTAGTTTCATTTCCAGTTTGATTTATATGTTTTTTATCATCTTTAACATGTCTGCAAAGATAGTAGCAGTGACTTGTCTATTCCAACAAGTTATAGCCATGTTAACACCTTATTTCTCTTATTTCAGGTAAGAAATCTTACTGAAAAGCTGAGAGAAGTTGAGCAGGAAAAGAATGAAATTGACAACCACACAAGGGAGCTTCATGCAGCCATTGAAAAGTGAGTAGAAAAAAAAGGAAAATTTATTTGATTAATATGTTAAGTGATTGAAATGTAGATAATATATCTTTTTTTAAAATGTATAGAGGCATTGAATTTGTAGTCATTTTTATTAATTTCTTTGTCCTTTACTTCATACCCATTCTTAAAGACACACAAACTCTGTGGAAAATTGCTTGTCACTTGCTTTTTAAATTTGTTATTATATGTAGATTTTACATTTATAATGGCATTAAGTATGTATTTAATGTATATCTCTTTGTGATTATGTGATATTTGTTCAGACTCCAAGATGCTGCCACCCAGAGGTATCCCCCATCCACACAAGCCTTCATCTCAGAGATAAGAAAGGCTCGAGATGCAGCCTTGTCAGACCTTGATAAGGTGAAGAAGGAGCGAGAACTCCTCAGGGAAAAATTGAGGGTATGTTGAATTTTATGTGTTTATTTTTCTGTAAGATTTACAATATTGTTTTTCTTAGATTTTGCTTTTGATAAAGATTTTTGTTTGTTTGTTTGTGTGTTTGTCTGTTTGTTGGTATGGACTTATCTGAGATAGAGTCAATAGATGTATTGTTGATCGATTATGCATTGTTGAAATTTCCCCTCCCCAAAAACCTTTGTTAATGAGAGATCTGTTTGTGGTTGGTTATGTGATATCATGATAACTACTCTACACAGTGTGTTTGACAGTTTCTCTATATATTTTTTGTACATTTTTGTTACACTCTCACTTTAAAATTTTATTACATTAAAGAGGATTATTACTAAAGTCCCTCCATGTTTATTGGGAAAGAGCTCATATATGATGAATGATTGGTTAGAAAAGTAACCTCATTAAACACATATTATAATGCTATCTATGTACGATTGATCTTATGGTCTGTTTTTGAGGAATGTAACCTGTGTGGGAGGGATGCTGGTATATGTGAAGTTACTGTCTTTTTTCTGAAAAAATACTTTTGATCAGTTTTGTTATTGTTGTTGGTGATGGTATTATTACTATTATTCTTAATGTTATCAGTACCATTTTTTATTGTTATTATTATCATTATTTTTGTTTATTATCATCATCATCATCATCATCATCATCATCATCATCATCATCATCATCATCATCATCATCATCATCATTATCATTATCATTATCATTATCATTATCATTATCATTATCATTATCATTATCATTATCATTATTATTATTATTATTATTATTATTACCATTAATAATAGCAGCAGTAGTAGTAGTAGTAGTATTGTTTTTGTTGTTCTTCATGTTATTACCATCCTCAACATCATTACGTAAATCACCATCCCAACCTTCCCTCCAGAGCGCCACCTCCAGCCAGATGCGAGAGAAGGCCACCTTGGAGGAGGAGGCGTCCAACCTCCGGCACCAGACGGAGGAGGGGGGGAGGGTCGCAACGGAACTGCATCAGCGCCTGCAGTCCCAGGGCTCGCTCATTGCATCGCTGCAGGATCAAGTGCAGGCCCTACAGGATGCCCTCCAGCAGGCTAATAATGAACTAGGTCTGCAGGGCAAGCAGTCTGATGATATGAAGTGAGTGCTGGTTGTTTGTTGTTGTTGTTGTTGTTGTTGTTGTTGTTGTTGTTGTTGTTGTTGTTGTTGTTGTTGTTGTTGTTGTTGTTGTTGTTGTTGTTGTTGTTGTTTTTTGCTAGGAAGGTAATGGGGTCGAGTTGTAAGGAGTAAGGGGAGGAGGTTAGGTTATTGTTATGTGGATGCTGGTGAGTAGGTTCGATTATTCTTATGTTAATGTAGGGGAATAGGTTAAGTTATTATGTTAATGTTGGGGAGTAGTTAGATTATTGTTATATTTATGTTCGCGGGTGTTTATGTTCATGGGTAGGTCAGCTTATTCTTATGTTAATGTTAGGGAGTGGGGTAGATTATTGTGTTAATTTTGGTGAGCAGTTATCGTTATGTTTATGTTCGTGGGTAGGTCAGATTATTCTTATATTAGTGCTGGGTGGAGTGTTCATCAGAGTGATGAATTGACGGAGGAATATACTGTCCATTCATCTTTTGTAAGTGGAGGGGCATGTTTCTATTATGTTTTGAGAATAGAACCATGTTGCCCGGCATGTGGAGAGCTCAAATTTTGAAGCGTTTACGGACACTTTACTTTAGGTTTATGTAAATTAGGTGACACTAGATGATGCATTCATCTTTAAGGCTAAGTCTTCTTTGCAGTATCAATGACATTGATCAGGCTTCATTTATTAGTACTGTTATTATTTTTATTAATTTTTTTTTTACTGCAAAAAATAGGTATCCGCATTTTCGCATTTTTCTTGTTTCCTTACTTATGGACAAAAAAATAAATGCATTAAATAAACGCCGAATGGATTGACATTTACTAAATGCTGCATCTCCACGCAGAAAACTCTTGGAAAGGAAGGTAGGGGAGATCGGCGACACAGAGCACCAGCTGGAGTTCCGCCTGAGCCAGCTGTCGGCAGCGGAGAACCGAGTGTCGGACTTGGAGACTGAGCTGGACAGGGTGACGAAGGAGCTGGCGGTGGCGAGGGCAGACGGGGCAGCCCTGCGGGGGAATGTCAGCCGTTTGGACCACGACAAAGATCTCCTGACTGTAAGCATGTGGCTTTTAGTGTCGATTATATTTCTTTTAGAGACTTAAGAAATTTGTATCTGGTTGAGCTTTGTCTTAGTTTTTTTTTTGTGTGTGTCTGGTTATATGCTGGTTATTATTTTTTCCAGTTTTTTTTTTGGTTTGTTTGTTTATTCTACTTTTTTTTAAATCTATATTGACGTGACTCTGAAGCTGCTCCGATTCTCCCTTGCAGACAGAGTTAGACACAAAGACCGAGCAAGTTCTACACCTGCGGGAGGAACTACGGAAGAAGGAGGCCACGATAGCTCAGATGGAGGGGAATATCACGAAGCTGGAGGGCAAGCTTGAGTGAGTAAGCTGTTTGTATTTGCGTAGGAGTTGAAGCAGGTCCGAAAATGAGACGAAAAAGAAAAAATGCGATTCGTTTTATGGTCTTGTGATGAGGAGTCTCATTAGATTCGAAACGTCAATGTTTATTCTTTTCTCGTCGTGTTTCAGTGTGTGTGTTTATACACGTTGTTTTTTTTTCGTGGATATATTATATATCCATATCTTCAAAAGTAAGGAAATATTGTAGAATTTCAAATTGCGGATTGCACTTAACGAATATTGCAAATCAGAGAGAAACAAAATATAAGGGAAGTCGATCCAGAAGACAAACCAGAGGCGAATGGAGGCGAGTGGTATGAAGAAATGAGTGGGTGCGTTAGGTGATGAGTTTAAACGGGGAGTGATGAGATTATCGATACTGTTTTCCTTTGATTTTGCATTTCATGAATATGATTATTTATTTTGTTGGTACAGGCATCTCTTGCAATACAGTCAATAGATGTACCATTGATCAATAATTATGCCGTTGGTCCTCCTTGTGTAAGACGCACCTGAGGATTTTGGTGTCCTTGTACAACGGATGACAAGCATTAATGTCCGAATCTAATCCCAAATGTGGTGAGATTACGGTGCAAGATGCTGGTAGGGAAGGTACCGGACCTTGAATTAGATACGGTGATTTTGCAGTTATATATGAAAGTAAGGTTTTTAAGATTATTAATGCGGTTAAATTGGGCGATTTAGCTGTGTTGTCTTTGTACTTATCTGTGGCGATTTCTCTTTCCAAATTGTTTATTTATTCTCTTTGTCTGTATCTCATTCTCTGTCTCTCATTCTCTGTCTCTCTCTCTGTCTCTCTCTTCTTTCTTTCATTCTTTCTTTCTTTCTTTCATTCTCTCTCTCTCTCTCTCTCTCTCTCTCTCTCTCTCTCTCTCTCTCTCTCTCTCTCTCTCTCTCTCTCTCTCTCTCTCTCTCTCTCTCTCTCTCTTTCTCTTTCTCTTTCTCTTTCTCTTTCTCTTCTTCCTTTTAGTGAGAACTTACAGTCCAGTAGCATGCGGGAATTGGTTTGTGTGTGTGAAAATCTTGAACGGAAGTTTCTAAAATTCCATTGCATGCAAGATGAGAGACATTTTGCTTTTGCTAGAGAGTAGATGAAATAAAATAGATACTGCGTGTATGTGCGTGTGTATGTGTATGTGTGTGCCTTTCGGGTGTGCATTGTCTGTATGAAAGTGAAACGGTCTTTTTGTATATATGGGTATTTGTATGTACATGTATACATTAATGTTTTGTGTGTGTGTGTGTATGCTAACATGTGCATGCGTGCTGACACTCGCTGAATGTGCAAGCAGACTGCGAAAGATAAGACACGCCCGGAGAAATCACACGATCTCTTGTCTTTGAATCTGCACCTGTTGCGGTACATTCCCGTCAGTTCCGCATTCGGAATGTATTATTCTAAAGCACACGTTTTGGAGCAATACTAATCGTTCTCTCTCTCTCTCTCTCACGCGGGCGCACACGCACACACACGCGCACAGACACGCACACGCGCACGCACTAAGTCACTGCCACGCGCACAAACGCAAGTGATTAAACATTCATTAATTAATAGATGCAATTGAGTAAATTAACACATTTCTCATTGTGGTAAAATTTGATGAGGCTTTCTCCAATTTAACACTTGTCGTAATTTTCAGTAAATGAGTAACATGAAACTGAGAAATGCGGTGGGTTTAAAAAAACGCGTTAATTTGCGTTTTTTCACACTTCTTTTTCTTCACATTAATCTTAATTATTGTTATTGTTTTGTCTAAGTTTGTCATTATTCACCAAATTCACCAGTGTCGCGTTTGGTATTCTGCATTTTATTCTTTTGAATGAGTTGGAATATTAGGTTATATTTTAAAACTAAATATAATTATAGAGTAAGTCTATTTCAAACCCTTCGGCACTGCGTTGGTCCCGGAGTCGAAGCCTCGAGCAGGGAAAGCGAAGTCTTCTCGAGCGAAATTGAAAGAGCAAATGTTAACCAGCGTGCTAATTATCTCCTCTTTGCATAAGGCAATTTCCTCCGGCGACGAAGAAGGGGGGGAGGGAGGGTGTGTGCGTATGGGGATGTGTGAATAACGTATTATGACTTTCACTGGTATTCTAGGGTGGGGTGGGGTAGGGGGAGTGGGGTTGGGGGTGTGGGGTTGTGGGGGTGTTCCTGCCCCGGGGAGCGATTTTCAAGATTCGCTTTGTTTACTTTCGCGTGTCATATGGCGCTTGTCGGTGTTCTATGAGGAAGTACTTATTATTTTTTAAAAATCTGTTTGGATGTGCGTTTGTTGTAATTTGCGTTACGTCAGAATATACTTTCGAAGAGGAGAGGAAGCAGCGTGGTGGTGTTAATTTTGAAAATGAGTTTTTCGTTGGCGGGTTCGAGCGTGTTGTTGACGTCTTTGTTTACCCGGTACACGCCACCAGTATGTTTTTTTCTGGAGAGAATGTTGCAAATATTTGATTTATCATTCAGGCTGAGGCTTGAGGAGGGATGACGAAAGGGGAAAGGGGAAGTAGGAGGTGAAAGTCGGAGACAGAAGGAGGTTTTAACTTTATTACATATTCACGGAAATGAACAATCATGATATATACATACATTATAAAAAATATTCACAAAAAAAGCATCAACCTCCAGGCAGGCCCGTCGGGTTAGAGTGTGCAATTGCTCGAGGTCACCGCAACAACACACGTGTCTCGCAGCTGTTGGACGCATCGCGGCAGTCACTTCCCTTATTTGATTTTAGCAAGTGTTTTGTGCGGCCGGCCTGCGGTTCGCCTCTTACGACGGGAGGATTATCGGGGAGGCAAGGGAACCGAGTCGCGGAAGTTCATTCACTGTCGGACGTGTGTTTGTGTGATTATTACACTCTGTGGTGGTAGTGATATTGTCTTTTTTTCGAACACTTTATCCGCCACGAGTAAATGATGTTTGTTAATGGCGTTTTCTGAGTCACATTCGAGGGGGCGGCTCCCCGTCCCGTTGGTGAGTCGCAGGCGCAGGCGCGAAGGCACAAGCGCGGGTCGCAAGAGCGAGGGCGGCGCCGGATGGAGGTCCTTTTGCATGGCGGGGGCGTGGAGTCCGGGCGGCTCGTATCACAGGCTGTGTGGGTGCGTGGGGGCCATGGCCTGGGGTCACGGTAATGCCCTGCGGCGTGTGAGGGTGTGGGGCGGCGACCCCCGGCGTCGCTTAGGAGGAGGGCTCCCCCCACCACGGCTGGAGGGAGGGCTCTCCGTCAGGGCGCCCCGTGTAGTACGTCCCCGGGGAAGTGCCGGGGATTTTGAAGTAGGACCCGTCGAGGAAGCCCCACGTCTCGGTGTCGGCCATGGAGCGCCCCGTCCGCCCCTGGGGGAAGGCCGTCACCGCCGCGCCCTCTCCGGCCCCCGCTGCCCCTCCGCCCGTGGCGTCCTCCACGGCCACCAGCGAGTAGATGTTGGTGGGCGCAGGGCGACTGGACAGGCGGCGCCCGTTGCGGAGGGCGGGCGTGCGCGGGGCCTCGCTCGTAATGTTAGCCGCGGCGGGCACGAGGGTGTCGTTGGCGCCCAGCGTGAAGGAGCTGTCCCCGCGCGCGGCCGTCACGCTGTTGCTCTCGCGGTGGTGCTGCGGCGCTTTGTCTCGAGCGGGCGCGGCCGTCAGCAGCAGGAGGGGCGCGTTGGGCGTGTGGGACGAGCCTGCGGGCGTGCAGGTGGGCGTGACGGGGCGCCATCGCTTGATGACCATGATCTCCCCGACGGCGCACGGCCCGCGGGTCTCGATGCGGTAGCAGCGGTCGTCGTGCCACTGGACGAAGCCCTTCCGGATGTCGCACGTGCACTGGACGCCGCCGGTGGCCTTGTCGTACGAGAGCACCTGCGAGTGCTGGCAGGGGCCCCGCCCGCCCAGCTCGTAGCACCGGCCGTCCTCCGGCCAGTAGCCCACCAGCTCACGCGTGCAGCCGCAGGCGCCGCGCAGGGGCGTCTCCTCGTCGTAGATGAAGAGCTGCCCTTCGGGGCACGGGCCGCGCCAGCCGAGCCGGTAGCAGGTTTCCGTGGCGGGGTGGTATCGGCGGGTGCCCGAGCACGGGTACTCGTGGCACTCCCCCTCGAGCGCGGTGCCGTTCTCGGTCCCCGGCGCCGAGATGAAGAAGTGGCCCTTGTCACAAGGGCCGCGCGAATAGAGGCGGTGGCAGTGGCCGGACGGGGCCCACAGCGCGTGGTCCTCCCGGCAGCGGCACTGCGTGGTCATCTCGCGCGGGTCGAAGGTGAACACTTGGCCGGGCTTGCACGGGCCGCGCTGGTTGAGCTCGAAGCAGCCGTCGCTCTCGCGGTGGTAGTTGGTCAGGATGGAGGCGCTGCAGCTGCACTCGGTGGAGCCGCGCGTGGCGTTGTACAGGAAGATGGCGCCGTCCAGGCACGGGCCACGCTCGAACAGCTCGAAGCACAGGCCCGTCAGCGACCAGTAGTTGCTGAACATCACGTTCCTGTCGCAGCCGCACTCGGGGAACCCTGGAACGAGAGGCGCGGGGGTCACGGTACGCTGAAGGCAGTCTAGGCTTTATTGTCAGGCACAGTAACGATAAAAATGGCTATTATGTAAGAGAAAAGAGGCAGTTAAAAACGTGATGGTGAGAGAGAGTGAGAAAAGTACCTGTGAGGGGATTGATGTAAATGAGGTATCCCTTGAGGCAGGGTCCGCGCGTGTGGTATTGGTAACACGTGTCATCTTGGGGCCAGAACACGTGGCGGGGCGGGCACTCCTTGAAGGCGCGGCACGTGCCCGTCTGCCCATCCTCCTCCGTGGCCAAGTACTGTCTGTCAAGAGGAAAATAGGGAACGTTCAATCTTGTTGTCATTGCTGTCTGATAATTATCATCATTAATCATACTCGTCGTCGCCATCATCAATATTGTTATTTATATAATAATTCATACTACTCAGTAAGAAGCTACTTGGACGAGAGAAAAACAAGCGAAGAAATTCATCCTGTTTTAATT